ATGACTCATTAGAAGCTCAAGTAACGAATTTTTATACACGAGAAAAATCTACTTCATAAAAAGTTTCCACAAAATTTATTTTCGAAGGTAAGAATTTCAATTTAATTTTCAAACCTGCTAGCATCACTTATCTTGAAAAATCAAGTAAAAATGTCATTTATAAGCCTACATTGTTTCAAACAAACAAACGAGAGGAGCCGGAAAAATTCGGCCCATCCGAATGTCCGGTTCATTTGCAACGGCCAATTTTTCAACCGTTCTGACTTCTGACGAGCAATTGCTAAATCAGTCGTCAGGAATAGTACCGGACGTCTGGATGATCATCCGATTCGGCGGAGTTTTTGACTTTTTCAACTATTATAAATACCAACTCATTTGTCATTCATTACAACATTTAAGAGCATTCAAGTGAGATATTTTGAGCAAAATTATATTGATCTCTCATCTCATTTATTATCATCAAATCATTTTAGCTTTAAAAAACTTTTGATCAAATTAACTTTTGAAAATCATTCTAGACATCAAAGTTTTTCATACCTAACACTTGAGTTTCATTCATTGCTATCTATTAAAGTGTTAGTCAATTTCTCTCTTAGTACTTAATTGTGATCATATCATTTATTAAGAGAAAAGTTTCATTTGTAAAACCTTCTTTAAAATTTGTGGGTTGTGTTGAGGTCACGTAAAGCTCAACGTTGTATAAAGATCAGTGCTCCTTCTTTATAAGTCACCGGAAGCATTGCAAATGGTTGGATTGCACCAAAAATCAATCAACATAATGAAATTGGTCTTACTTGTGTCGAAGAACTTGGTAACAAAGGACGTAGACCATTGCGTTAGATCTAACCTCCATAATTATATCGTTTGTATCCTGTAACTCTCTCTACTTATTGCTTTCATATTCGTGCTTATTACTTAAATTAATCTATCTAGTTATTACGTGTTTGGTTTTAGATTAATTTTTCGAAAAAGTTTTAAAAACCAATTCAACCCCCTTTTGGTTAGCTATTATTGGGCTATCAATCAAATCACATTATTTTGAACCAACTCTTTTTTAAATAGAAATATAGCTAACTCCAAGGATTTCTGCATGAATGACATACAAAATAGGGTTAAGGCAAAATGTAGTTTTATTCGTAAAAAAAAAAAAGCACTACAGCGGTCAATGCTTTCAAAAAATTCACCAACTAGGTCACATACAAATTCATCTCAAAATTTAAAATTTGTCAACATCTACCACATGTCAGTCGGAACAAGAAAGGGAAATAACTAATTCGAACAACAAGAATATTAAAATAATTGAAACTGTAAAGTGAAAGATGGTGTATTTTGACATTGTTCAATCTTTACATTACATGTCGAAGAGATAAAAGATGCAAGTCATGTTTGGTGCTTTTACATGTAACATTGCTTTATAACAACAGCATACTGAAAAATGTGAAGCAATAAATGTCAAATTGGCCTGAATGCCCCCTTTCCATAGGGTTTCCTCCCATTATATAGAAAGGTTCACATAATGAATGCCACATTTCTAGCACCTAAATGCTATACACGTAAATATTTCCAACTTATTTACAGCCTAATTCTGTGCTATGTACAATCTAGATATCAAGGAAACCATTCCAAAATTAGTACAAATCAAATCCCTAAATCATTTTCATAACATCCCCCTCAAATTGATGTTGATAGATCAAGAAGCATCAATTTGTTAACCAAGACCTGATGCTGATGCCGAGAAAGAGATTTAGTGAAGACGTCTGCAGTTTGATGTTCGGTGGAAATGTGAGGAAGAATAATCACACGTTTGTCAAAGGATTCACGTATGGAATGACAATCAACTTCGATATGTTTTGTACGCTCATGGAAGACAAAATTAGTGGCGATCTGAATAGCACTGGTATTATCAGCATGAAGAGGAGTGGAATGAAGCTGAGGAAAACCAAGTTCACCCAATAACCTACGAAGCCATGTGATCTCAGAACAGGCAGAAGACATAGCACGATATTCAGCCATGTGATCTCAGAACAGGCAGAAGACATAGCACGATATTCAGACTCAGTGGAGGACTTGGAAACTCTGTCTTGCTTCTTAGTGGAGGACTTGAAAACTCTGTCTTGCTTCTTACTCTTCCAAGAAATGAGTGCATTGCCTAAAAACATGCACCAGCCTGTAACAGAGCGACGAGTATCCACACATCCGACCCAGTCAGCGTCACTATACCCCCACCAACTGTAAGGAAGATTCCTTGGGAAAGAACAACCCGCGTGTAGAGGTGCCCTTTAGATATCGAATAATGCGGTGGACAGTGGCTAGATGAAGGTGTCGAGGGGCTTGCATAAATGACTGACTTGTTGCACAGCAAAAGAATTGTCAGGACGAGTAATCGTCAAGTAGTTCAAACTCCCAACGAGTTGCCAATATAAGGATGGATCTGATAGAAGCTCGCCTTCCTCCTGACGAAGCTTAAGATTTACCTCCAAGGAAGTAAGAACAGAATTACCCAATTGAAGGCCAGCTAATGAAATTACTTCATCCGTGTATTTGTGCTGATGTAACAATGTACCAGTCAAAGTAATCTGCGCCTCAAGGCCAAGAAAGTACTGCAAGGGACCAAGATCTTTCATGTGAAAAGAGGCCTTGAGATGCTGTTGTAATTGCTGAATTAACTCAGTATTAGAGCCAGTAATCACAATGTCGTCAACATAGACTAGAAGCAATACAATTCCTGCAGAAGTCTTGCGAAGAAACGGAGATGAATCAAACTGACTCTGAGTAAGGTGAAAAGCAAGCAGAGGAGAACGAAATTTATCAAACCATGCACGCGGAGCCTGTTTCAGCCCATACAAGGATCGACGTAGCCGATAAACCTGTGAGGAAGGTGACATGCCAGGAGGTGGAGACATATAGATTTCTTCCTTCAAATCCCCATGTAGAAAAGCATTCTTCACATCCATCTGCCGGAGGGACCACCCCTGCGACGCAGCGAATGCCAAGATAGTCCGTACAGTAGTCATTTTGGCAACAAGTGCAAATGTCTCTTCATAATCAATACCATACTTCTATCAATTCCCAAGGGCCACGAGACGGGCGTTATATTGGTCCAGCAAGCCATCAGACCGAAACTTGACTGAGTATACCCATTTACAACCAATAGGTTTTACACTAGATGGACAAGTTACAAGATCCCAAGTGTGATTGTCTTGAAGACCATGGATTTCTTCTTGTATGGCCTGCTGCCAACATGCTTGGGTGGCTGCCTGAGTATAAGAGCGAGGAACATAAATAGTATCGAGAGTGGCAGTGAGGTATGAGAAAAACCATACCTATCAAGTGGATGTGTAATCTGAGTGGAGCGCCTAAGTATAAGAAGTGTAGAATCAGATGAAGGATCAGTGTCTGGAAGAGGCGTTGAAGGAGGACGTCTATGATACACCACACCTGGTTT